GCACCGAAATGCTCTCGCATCTGCGCCGCTCAACAGGAGGGCCAAAGAAATTCCCAAGACGGCCCGAGAGGTCCCCAACACGCCCCAAAAAAGCCTCAAAACGACCCAGGATGATCTTTGGAGAGGCCCAAGACATCCCAACAGGTCTTCGAGACGACGTAAATACGCAAGACAGCAACACGAGTCCCCGAGACGGCCTGACGAGGCCCAAGACATTACAAGGAGGCCAACAGAGGTGCCCAGTGCGCCCACGAGGGCCCCACGATGGCAGAAGCGAGATCCGAGAGGAATTCGAAACAGAGTAGGAAAACCCCAGATGGCGGCCCTAAAAGAAAAAGGTGGAGGGCTGAGGGAGAAGGGAGCATGAGGAATATGAGGGAGACGAGGATACGGAGGGGATAAGGAAGACGCAGATGGGGATGATGAGCAGGAAGAGGAGGGGCAGGAGGAAGAACGAGCGGAGGATGAGGACGACGAGGGAGAAACGAGGACGAGAGGGAGAGGACAAGGACCGGAGGGAACGCCAGTCTGGCCGTGTTCACGCGAAGCGCTGTGGACCATCTTTTCCTCTCTTCCGATCCGGATGTCTGCGGGTCCGAAGTCGCAGCGCAAATCTGCTGCGAGCGTGGCTGCGGCAGCTAGCCTCGCGACTCCTGGGGCTCACTGGCGCCTCCGGCCTCGGAGGCCTTGGCCGCGGAGGACGACCTGAAGGCCCAATATGCCACGGTCGCGACAAGAGGCAGGGCGGCCGCTCCCAGTGCAATGGAGCACTCGGCGAGCTTCTCTTTGAACCATTCCGTCTTTTTTTCAACCCCTTCTCTCACTTGGAGCGCGATCGTGTCCTTCAGGGCCTGCTCCTTCAACTTCGCGAGCTCCTCCTGGCTCTTCTGCAGAGCCTCCGTCATATTCTTAAAGACGAAATTCTTTGCCTCTGCGCGGGCTAAGTCTTCCAGGGCAACCTCTTGTCGCTGCTCTGCCATTTTCCTGTCCCGTTCGGCTCTTTCTTGGGCTTGGTGGGCCTCTCTGTTGGCTCTCTCGGCAATTTCCATTCTTTTTGTCGCATTGGATCCGCCATCGTACCGTGGGCACGAAGTGGAGTGCACGAAGGCTCACAGCTGCGCTGTTGCGGCAGCCAGGATTGTAAGTTCTCAAAGGCCCCGACTCCCAATTTCACAAGAGTTCTGGGGGTCTCCCGGTGGTTCTTTGGTTTTCTCGGGATGTTTCCCCTGGGGCTCTTCAAGTTGAGCCGGCACTGGCGGTGGTATTGTCGGAGATAGGGGGGGGGAGATCGCAGAGGAACGGAGACCCCCAACCGGGAAATCGTTTCGTTTCGTTCGTGTCGTGCGTGCGGGCGAGGCGAAGCTGCGTGGGCGCGCGAAAGGAATGAACCCTCCGTTGCTAGGGCGAAGGCGAGACAAATGATTCTCCCCCGCCCGCCCGTCCGTCCGTCCGGCGGTGGCTCGCGGTGTCCGCGGTGTCCCGTGGTGTCCCGTGGTGTCCGCCGTTGCTAGGGCGAAGTCAAAACAAATGATTCTCCCCCACCCGCCCGTCCGTCCGTCCGTCCGGTGTGGCTCGCGGTGTCCCTCGCGGTGTCCCTCGCGGTGTCCCGCGGTGTCCCGTGGTGTCCCGTGGTGTCCCGTTGAGTGAGATCGATAGTGAGATCGACAGGTGTCCCGTGGTGTCCCGTTGAAGGAGATCGACAGTGTGATCGATACTGAGATCGATGTGGTGCCCCGAGGTGTCCCGTGGTGTCCAAAAAATGAAATCGATAGTGCGATCGATAGTGAGATCGACAGGTGTCCCGTGGTGTCCCGTTGAGTGAAATCGATAGTGAGATCGATAGTGAGATCAATGTGGTGTCCCGAGGTGTCCCGTGGTGTCCTATGATGTCCCGTTGAGTGAGATCGATAGTGAGATCGATAGTGAAACCGATAGTGAGATCAAGAGGTGCCCCGCGGTGTCCCGTGGTGTCCCGTGGTGGCCCGTGATGTCCCGTGGTGTCCCGTTGAGTGAGAGGGATAGTGAGATCGACAAGTGTCCCGTGGTGTCGCGTGGTGTCCCGTTGAGTGAGATCGATCGTGAGATCGATTGAGTCAGATGTTGGTTCCCCCTCCCCCCCCCCTCACAACCTCATTATCACCCGAAGGGTGGTCGTATAGGTAGATGATGGTTATGATGATGATGCGTATCATGGTTATGAAGAAACTCCGTGGCTATTCATCCTACCCTCTTCATCCTGCCCCCAATGCTCCCCGGAGAGTTTCCAGAACGGCTGGGAGACTCCATAGTGAGCGTTTGTTTATTCGGCGTTTCGACATTGGGCGGAAGGGGGGGGATGGGGGGTCTGGCTCCGGACCTCTGCTTAGTGCGACTGTTTGGGACCGTGCGTCCTCTGGGGGAGACTCCCATGCTCGAAACAGGCGCCAAAAAAAGGCCAAGATCTACTCCACGGTGGGGGGGACGGGGGGGTGCGAGGGCCCGCGTCGATCGGCAAAAGAATGAACAAAAAAACGCTCATCTGGTCAAGCAGGGGCCAAGGTTTGGGCACAACGGCGCTTCCCGAAAAGGCAGGCGGCGGCGGTGGTTCGCCCTAGGCGTATGCGATAGCGCTTCCTGGGCTACTTTTTTGGCGTTCTCGGCGTCGAATTGTCTGTTGAGCGCCATTGACGCATTTGTTTCTGCTGCCTCAGCTCTCGCTTTTGCTGCCATGGCGACCACAGAAAACGCAGCCCCCGCTGCCGTTTTCACTTCCGGGGCTGTGTCATTGAACATCCGCTCCGCCCACTCAACGGCGCCGAATGATTCGGACAAGGTCTGGTTGTTCAGGACCAGCAACAGCGGTTGACCAGCAGCCCGTGCTCGAACGCCTGCATCTGGGCTCTTCAGTGCAACCTCCAACAAAGGCAAACTCGCGTTGCCGAACACTTCAACAGCCCCAGTCAACTGATCCGCAAAGGCATGACAGTCAGCTAAATCAAATTCACAGATTATGCCTCTGCGGATAGTCGGGATCATGTCAATGCCGCACTTGCGAATTGCCGTTGTCGTCACATTCTGACCGACCACCATACGCACCTTCCCATCCCAATCATCGGCTGCTTTGTCGATGAGACGCTTTGCCCTAGAGCAATATTTGTCAACGGCTTCGGGCAACGCCTCCCGTGCTGCCGCCTGTCGCACAGAGGATGACTGGTCGGTGATGGCTTTGCTGACGAGCGGTAGCATGTCGACGTCGTCGCCCAGCTCGCCAATTGCTTTGGGTAAGACGACCTCCGCTACCTTCTCCCGCACCTGCCACGCGGTGTCATTCATTGCCCTGTCGAGGAGCGGTATGGACAGATTGCCGAGCTTGCCGATGGCATAAGGCAATACCGTTTCCACAACGTGCTTGCGCAACTTCTCCATGTGTTGCGCCTTGCCATTTTTTTCATTGGTTCACTGCATCTCGGAAACAAGCAAATGAGATGAGAATGGGGGTTGCTTGTGGCGTGTGCTTGGCCGAACTGATTGAATAACTTGTGAAATCTGTGAACATCCGAAGTCTCAAATTCTCGGCAATGCTATTATCCCAGTGCGACCCTACCTAGTAGTTGGAGCATCTAGGAAAGCAGCATCTACATCTACACCGTCAGCTACATTAACATCTACACCTGCATCTACATCTACATCTACAACATCAACAGCGAGACTCACATCTACATCTACATCTACATCTACACCTACATCTACATCTACAGCTACACTTTCGCATTGGTTTTGTTGTTGCTTTGCATTGCCTTGCCTTTGCTTTTGGTTTTGCTGTTGCTTTTGCTTTGCTGTGTGTTGCTTGTGTTTTGCTTTGCTGTCGCTGCTGTTGCTTTGCCTTTGCTTTGCTGCTATGCTATGCTATGCTCTGCTATGCTATGCTGTGCTATGCTGCGCTGTGCTATGCTGTGCTGTGCTGTGCTGCGCTATGCTATGCTATGCTATGCTATGCTGCGCTATGCTATGCTATGCTGGGCTATGCTATGATATGCTGTGCTGCGCTATGCTATGCTACGCTATGCTATGCTATGCTGTGCTTGGCTATGCTAAATCTCAGCGAAGCCAAGACGAAAGTATGCTAAGCTAAGATAAACCTGAGCTAAGATGAAGCTAAGCTAAGCTAAGATGAAATCAACTAAGCTAAGATGAGATAAGCAACGCTAAACTAAGGGGACGTAACTGGGGGAACCGCGGGGCGGATACCGGGGAACCGCCCGGGGCGGTTTCCACTGCCCAGCCCCTTTAAGAAAGAGAGTAAGAACCCTCTAGGCAGAGCCTAGGTAGGGAATGAGAGAACTACGGTCGCAACAAAGCAATCGCGAACATTAATGCACATACATGGTACACACATGCGATGTGCGAGCCCAACATGAACACACGGATGACATAGTGCACCAGGAAAGCGACAAACGAACCTAACAATAGGAAACTGCAGACGACAACGATGCACAACAAACACATACGATACACGGCAGACGCGGGTGATTGATATTATTCTTCTAGGGTGTCGAAGCTCGAGTCTCGGTGCATGTCCAGACCTATGATTCAGTCCAATACCCGGATGTAGTCTGAACATGGTATGGAACATACACATAATACTTGCAACGTGCCCTAATTAAAGGACGCTGGCAAAACGACTGCGCAGACAATTACAACACACAAACATACACAAACACGATCGATACATATACGGGCAGAGTGTACGTTGTGCAAAGGTGAATCGCTTATTTGTTGATGGGTCGCTCCATGCAGTGTAATGTTGGGCAGAACCATCGCACGCGCTCTGATCTCATTCTAGTTCTGTCTCGACCGTCCCGAGCGTCCCAGTAGAGCTCATGAGGGAATGACGTGCTTGTTGTTCGGGCTTTCCTTCGGGAGCATTACATGACAGTGCACCCCAGAATGTTCTCCTACTGCCAATGCATCCCATGCATATGAATCATGCCTCCTCCTCGCCCCATTTACTCTGGCCAGTCCCACCTCCTCCTGCTTTTGCTCTGTTTCAGTTGTGCGCGGTTACCCGTGCCTGGCACTTCGAGACCCCACCAAACGTCCCAGGACAGCCATCAGCCTGGAAGATGCCAAACATCCAGAACCTGTTGCGACGCATGCGTGACGCATGTGGTTGTGCATCCGCGTGGGGCGCCCCGCGCTGGAATCCGTCGGCCCCAAAACTTGGCGGGGTCCCGTTTGTTCTGTTGCCAATCTCTTGGTCCGCGGCTTCTCCCGGCTCCAGGGGCAACCCCAACAATACCTCTTTCAATATCACCTTCCAGCGAAACATCCGGGTCGCGAGCATATGCCCGATAATCCCTATAATAAGGGAGGCACGGTCCATCCGACATGCTTGCATAGGCCGTTGATCCTCAGAAAACTGATTTGCATCGACCGCGGCCCCGCCAAGAACCTTCGCGGGTATGGGCTGGAATCCCCCGAATCGCGCGGCCCCGGCGCTCGGATCCAGAGTTCCGATGACCCCTAGATGTCTCATGCGACACAGGCCAGAGTGCCCCAAGTCAGGGCATCTCGGAGCCTGGGATTCCAAGGAGGTCTCGGGCTGAACGGGCCTGAGCACCTCGAGAGCCACATCTTGGAACCCAGAACTGGGAGGATGTCTCAGGGCGGAATGGGACAGAACACCTCAAGCCATGGCATCTCGAAGGGGTTCCGAGGACACCTCCATCGAAACGGGCCTGAGCACCTCATGACTCGCATCTTGGAACGCAACGTCGTGAGGGCATCTCGGGCGAAACGGGCCAGAGCACCTCAAGTCAGGGCATCTCGGAGCCAGGGATTCCGAGGAATTCTCAAGCGAAACGGGCCTGAGCAAAACGCATCTTGGAACCTAAAGTGCGAGGATGTCTGAGGCGAAGCGGGCCAGAGCACCTCAAATCAGGGCACCTCAGGGCCAGGGGGTCCGAGGATGTCTCAAGTGACACGGGCCTGAGCACCTCAATGATCACATCTTGGAAACTGGAGTTGTGAGGATGTCTCAAGCGAAACGGGCCAGAGCATCTCAAATCAAGGCATCTCGGAGCCCGGGGGTCCGAGGATGCTTGAAGTGAAATGGGCCAGGGCCTCTGTGGGCCATGCGGCGCACCCACCTCCCCGGCACCGCCGTCGGGGTTGCCCGGGGTCGCATGGGGCCGCCCCCAGCGACCCGGGGCACCCGGGCTCAGGTGCCCTGCCCCCTCCCCCCCACAAGCCAAGGAAAGTCTTGGGGCCTGTCCCTCTTGAGGGGGAACGTTCAAAACTAGTAAACAAATAGCCAGGGGACGACCTTTCGCAATTTTTGAACCTTTTTTGGATACCTTTTGGATGGGGCCCAGAACAGCCCCGAAGCTAACAAAAGTAGCCAGCGAGGACCATGCAACTCTCGGGAGCGGCCAAGAGGGGGGTGTCCAAGAGGGGGGGGTGCAAATCATGACCGGCGGCATGTGCGCGGCCCAGCGGGGGGGCCAGGGACGCAATGAAACAAGAAGAGGCGCCATGAAATCTGGGGAAATATCATGGCCCCCGCCATGATATCCCCCCCCCCTAGTCATCACCCCCCTCTTTGCCGCCCCCGAAACTCTGGTAACGCATACGCCCACCTCCCACAAACAAGCGGGCCGTTCGAGACACCCCCGTAATCTCTGAGCGCGAACCGGCCTTTGAAAAACACCCTTGGTGTCGGCAGAGCACTGGCCTCCGTGTCACCAGTCACGATCAAAAGCCGCGTCCGGCCCTGGCGACGAGGAGCGCCCCGAAAGCCTCGACGACACAATAATTACTTGTCTGACTGCAATGCGAGCATTCTCCTTCCTCCTCCTCCTCCTCCTCCTCCTCCTCCTCCGCCTCCTTACTCTCCTGCGCTCCTCCTCCTCCTCCTCCTCCTCCTCCCTTCCTCCTCCTCTTCCCCCTCATTCCCCCTTCTCATCCTCCTCATCCTTCCTCCTCTCTCTCCTCATCCTCCCTCCTCCTCATCCTCCCTCCCCCTCCTCCTCCTCCTCCTCCTCCTCCTCCTCCTCCTCCTCCTCCTCCTCCTCCTCCTCCCCTCCTCTTTCTCTTCGCACTCCTTGTCAGCAGCTGCTCAGACTTGCGAGGACATCTCACGCGAACCTGGCCGGACCACCTCGCGCGCGGCATCTCTGCACCCAGAATGGCGAGAGCGGGCGGGACCACCTCAAGTCGCGGCATCTCCGAACCCGGAAGTTCCAGGATGCTTCGGGCGAGGTGGGCCAGACAACCTCTCGCGCGACACCTGGGCTCCCAGAGTTGCGAGGATGCCTCTGAAGGGGCCCTGGGACACACAAACAAATACACACAAATAAGTATTTTCTCATATGTTCTGGGTCTCTGTCTTCCCCCTCACTTCCCATGTTTTCGCATATTTGCTGGGGATCGACGAATAATTGTGTCTGTGTTTTTTCCCCTCCTGAGTCTCAAGCGAAGCGGGTCAGACCAGCTCAGATCTGGCCATCCGGGAATGCGGAC